TGCATTCAATGTTGACGAGGTGTTCGTCCACGTCTTTACCAAACACTATAATATCGTCGACGTAGACATAACAACTTTTTCCTATGAATTCATTAAGCACATTGTCTATCATCCTTTGAAAAATGGCGGGCGTATTTTTTAGACCAAAGATAATAGGAGGAATTCGTACTTCCCATTCATCGTAGAGAATGCGGTCTTAGGAATGTCTGATTCCTTCAAAGGTATTTGGTGAATGCCGGAAGTAAGGTCCATCGTCGTGTAGTAGTTGGCTTCACCAAGGATGACGCCTCCATTGAGTAGTTCGTTTATTTGTATATCGACTTTTTCTCTTATGCAGGCAGGATAGGGGTAGCTTTTGCTGTAAACTGGCTCCAAGGTTCTAATTGAGGCTCATACAGGATGTATCTGCAAATACCTATAAAAATGATTATGACATTTTATGATGTTATTTTAATAAAATATATATTTATTGTATACGAGATATTAATATTGGGTTAGGTTTTTGCCTAACCAAATGTTGACGATATTTGTTTAAAGAAAAGGAGCAGCATTATCCCATTTGTTAAATATTTGGGGCTCTGCAAATACTTATAAAACTGTTAATAACATCTTTTGGTGTTATTTTTATAAAATATTTATTAATATTAATATTGTCGTAGGTTATTATCTAGCGACACGTAGGCAATATTTAAATGAATGAGCAATGAAAATGAACCAATCTTGACACAATTGAAATTGAGCTAAAATATCACAAAGATTAGCAATGAATTATTTGCACTACAACTTGTATTAATATGCTAATCAAAATTAAATTATAAATATATTGTTTAAATTAATTTACTCATGCATAGCAATATTTAAAAATGTATATTACAAATATTTCGAAAGGAAAACAAAATTAAAATACATCCATAACACAAGAAACCTACATTGGACGTGTTCGGACATTCAAGTTAATATTTAAAAAAAATCGGAGTCTAGAACGTATTAATCACGTACCAAACTTACTCTTTCATTGGTAGGTTTCTAGGTTAGAAAAGAAATTGGTTTCGTACCAGGCCGTATTAATCACGTAACAAACTTACACTACCAACTAACCTATTTTAAAGTACAATCGAAATCGTTTATATAACGACTTATCCAAAAGTCCCGAGAAAAGTTCTACCCGTTTTATTTCAACACCAAATTTCACCACAAAAGCCAAATAAAAATCAAAGAAATATTAAAAATGAATGACTTTACGAATAAAACAATTGAAGATTTAATAAATCATGTAAAAATGAATAAAACTGCTAAGGACGCTTAAAAATCTGATATAATAAAAAAAGGTGCACATACGTTCCTGGTCTATCGGAACGTTTTGCAAATTCAAATCTATATAACAAAGAACGTTATAGACTTGCTTTAAGAAGTAGTAATACAAATAACAACTTCTTCAGTCGGACAAAATCAACCACCCCACCAGACGAGCAATATGTTCTCAAACTTGACGTACACTTAAATTTAATGAAGTTAACATTTTAACACGCGCGGCAAACTACAAAAGAAGATTCATGTTAGAAATGTTACACATTATAAATGTCCCTGCCGAAAACCGAATGAACTTTAAGACAAATACGGAACACTGTGCACAAATATACAGGAGCATTATTGAAAAAGCGCAAATAAAAATCATGTAATTAGTTTTTTTCAAGTCAATCCCTGATGATGATCATCGATGATGATCGAAATATTGGAAAAATAAAAATAAATTAAAAAAGAAACCAAAAATCTTTTTAATTTTCAATTATGAAAATGAAAAAAAAAACGAAGACAAAAGTTTGTAGCGACCAATTTCGCCGGTCCCTTGACCGTCGTTATAAACGATTTCGACTGTAGCATGCAAATATAACCCACTTTAAAGCAAGGTACATATTTAGACATAACAAAGAAGACTATTTTTTCTTATTAACATTACTCACACATAGGGAGGGTACACATGTAGAACTTCTCCTTTTTTACAACATAATAAAAATATTTGTAGAAGATTAATATTTTTATTGTTTAAAAATAACACTTAATTGCTATTCACACAAATTTCATTTTCATATTTTGGCAATAAATAACATAATTACTGAAATGTTGTTTTGTATGGTGGTGTTGCCAGTGGTATTTCATTCGTATCAATGACATTGTCCGTCTTTCTGATGATTATTTGCCATATGAAAATAATTATTTTAAAGCAGTGTACACATGCAGAACCTCTCCTCTTTTTATAACATAAGAACGGTGTTTGGGTAACTAGAATATTTTTTAATTCGTGACAATGTCCGCGGTTCCGATTATTATTTGCCTAAATAATTAAAGAAAGACACACACGTAACCCATTTCAAAAGCAGAGTGTACACATGTAGAGCATCTCCTTTTTTGTGGCAAGAAAAATGTATTTTTATTATTTAGAAAATAACACTTAATTGTTATTAAACATAATCTCATTTTTTTATATTAGCTGTAAGCATATATACTTTAAGATTTTTTTCGTTTTTTGAAATTAGTTGTATAAGCATACTACACTGATGTGTCAAATGAATCTAATTTTTATACTAATCTAAGACTATAACTAATATAATAAAGAAATAAAAAACAATAACATGTCTTATTATACTAAAATCTTTGTTTTATTTAGCTGTATTCAATTCAAAGTTGTTGTAGCAGCCGTATTGATTTTGCACAATGGGCGCTTGAGGTGATAGACATTGGCCGAGTAAGACTCGTGTCGTTTCGGATTATCGAACCCTATGTCGTGGAATTCAAAGAAAGGTTATTCCCTTCAAGAAATTATATATCGGCATCCTGCTATTTCTGACAGTAAAAATCAAGTTCTTTCAAATACGCTCTATTTGGCACAAAAAAGAGCGTCCCATATATTTGGCACCTTGTATTTGCAAATCGTTTCAAAAATTATTTTAAGAGGTTTTCGTCCGTCTTTTGTAATCAATCTATCTTCCGAAGTAATTGCGGTAATGCACTAGTTTCTTTTGCTTGCAGCAAGATCAAAGTATGACCCATAGAACGGTATACCCCGTTTTCGACACACATTTTCCATGCATACAATGCAGTTTTTTGGCCAGTGGGTTAAATAATTACTTTCTTACTTGGCTGACTTGTGACAGAACTTTTGTTCCATAAGCCGAGCTTAAAAAATATTTCCAGGTGCGTCGGTCTTGCACGCAGCTCTTCCAATTCGAAAGACCGTGTTTTCAAATGTTCTCTTCCACTTGATCTTTCCATCTAATTCGTAGCTTTTCCCATCTGTGTGAGCCATCGGTAGCCTCGGTTTTATATTTCTTTTGTTCTGGGGCATCCTCACCCATTCTCACAACATGACCTACCCAACGTAGTCGCTGGAGTTTGATACGTCTGACTATGCCGTGGTTCATTCGACTCCAAGAGCTGCCTTACCTGCTTGGGTAAGTACCCATGATTCAGATCCATATAGGTTAGTTTAGGTTTGGGGATGTGCAGTCGCTAATTTTGCTGCAAAGGCCCTGATATTGTTTGTTCTCTTGGCAGAGTCGGCCAAACAGATATTGACACATTACACCTAAGTTCGTTGGCTCGTTCGTCGAAGAACGGCTCAAAGTTCCAAAAAAGGGGAAAGATAAGTGGTTTGATTGAGCCATCGATTGCTAGATTTGTAGATTGAGATCCTCGTCTATATAATTCATTTTCTTTTTCAATACCTATGATGTCAGCGTGTCCCAACACAGCCGATAGCTATAAGTAAGTGTTTCAAAACTGCTCTACACTCGAGGACGACCTCATAACAGCGTATCGATCGAACGCCTAAAACACTGGATGAATGCCTTCCGTCTATCACAACGATTTGATATCTCGTTGTTCGATGGGGAGAAACCCAGGTGGCCTTGTGTAAATCGAGATGCTTGAATCTGTTGCTGCTAATATGTTTGTTGACTTCGCAACCAACCTCATGCCGTTGTCTGATAATTCTTTATGGAGACTGAATTTTCCGACGGTGGGACCTCATAAAAATATTTTCCCTTCTGATTTTTGCATCAGCTATAATATAGGTCGTAATCATCTGATTTACTTACGTATATCGCTTTCCATCGCATTTCCTGTAAGGAAATAATATCGCCTTTGTACTTCTTGAGTACAGTAAAACTGCGTCCGATCTGTACAACGTGTGCACATTCCAAGTGCAGATTCGCAGATCGTGGTCCTTTATACGTTTGCGGGGGTCGTCAGCAGTAGGGGTTTTGGTTTTTTCCCTGGTAGAAGTTTTTTTCCGAGTGTGGGCAACTAACCCAACGCCTTAACCCACATTGTTTGTTGTTGTTGTAGCAGCCCTATTGTTTTTACACAATGGGCTGAGGTGACAGACGTTGGCCGAGTAAGACTCGGGTCGTTTCGGATCGTAGACCCCTCTGTCGTGGAAACGCCCACATTGTTTGTAGTTCATATGGGTGAAATCGCGGCACACATCAGCTCACTATTTCAACGGGTGATGAAAATAGCTACCCAAGGTGACACCGCGGGAGGTCAGCGTCCACAATTGGAATGAAAGAGGGACCAAGATAAGCCTGAGCTCTGCCATGTTAAAGCCAATCAGAGCCGTTGCTTGGTATCTATTTCCCCACTGGGTTAAATAATTTACTTTAAATTTGCGTTTTTCGTGATGGTGGCGTCCGTTTTCCATTGCAACTGAAATTTTAGTCACCCTTTCTAAACGGTATAATTAATACAAAATAAAAATAATAAAATATAACGTCCTTTTACATTTTCCTAGATAAAAAGTCATTTATATCAAGGTTAATTTATTACTTCAATTATTATTATTATTAAAAATACAAATTAATTAAACATTCTTTTTTGCTAGGTAACACTTCTTTCAACAATGTCTATTTTATTTTTATAAAAAATATATCTTCATCTTCAAATGTTCATGTTATAAATAAATACAAAATAAAATGTAACGAAATAATTTACATAAATCATAAATTAACCCAAATCTCCTTTTGGAACTGGTAACGTTAATGCCTCTTTCAATGTATCACTCTCCTCTAACGATGGTATACTAGGTGCTCCTTTACTCCTTAACATCAGCTGTATGGTTTTTGTTTTCCAATTATTTTCCGAAAATGGATCACGCATTAAACCAAAAGTACACTCAAATATACCCACACAATCCGTTTGTGTGTGTAGTGTACCACATGCCAAAACCAAGACCAGACCGTGAATATCCATACGTCCTTGAACACCCGAATGTGTTAGGTTGGGATTAAAGAAAAACCCAAATAATTGTTGAGCTTCGTAGAGTGTTTCTAAAAGTGTTATGGCATTATCACAGTCTTGAATTTCGCAACCATCACTAGCTGTTATCTGTAGCATAAGTCTAGCATCAGGCCAAAAGTCTTGAGGTTTCAAAGTCCTTTGATTGTAGTTGTTGAAGAACCATTCGGAAAATTTCCTTGCCAGCAGGTTTATAGGGAATTCAGACGCATCAGATAATGTAGTGGAAGATTGCGCCGAGCTTGTATTGCTCACCACCGCTACATCTGTGCATTCTAAACGATGATCATCAACTATGAAGTGTAATGTTTCGTCGTAAGACTCCTGGCTATAGCTCTGCTGTTGTTCCCTTGCCCCCGTCTCATTCCAGTATTCTATAACCTTTTTCACAAGATTTGTTTTGGTGAAGTCAGTCCGCAGTGCCACCTTTTTACTGTGCAAATATTTGAATAGTATCTCCTTGGTTATGGCCTTTTTGTTGAGTAGTGTCAAACAATCATCGGTGTGTGTAAAAATATATTCCAGTGCCTCTGTCAGGACGAAAAAAAGAATTTTTTTTTAAGAATTCATGTTGGCCTTTTTGGCGATTTCTATATTTACCTTCCGTTGAAGTGGTACTGACAACATTTTTGGTTACCGTTTTAGCCAATTGCAATAATACCGGGACGTTTTGTTCTTCATTTTGTAGCAAGTCTATTACACCATTTTTCTCGGCAATCGAAAATGGCATATTTTGAACATACAATTTTTATATATTGTTATCCGCATTAAAAGTCCTTTGGCCAGCCTTAAACCACTGAATGCACCGATTTAATTGAAAAGCGTTCCACATGGGGAAACAGAATTATGTTTACAAACGCCGATCAGCTGATGGATTCTCCGTGTAAAATAGGGATACGTAAGCTGATTTTCATCTAATCGATTAATTGTACAAATCGATAAAATTACAAATTGGGAACGTTATGGTGATAAAAAATTGCATTTTTTTAAGCAATATGTGTTACACATATATGTGGCAATGGCTCAATTATAGGAAAGATGTGGAGGCGATAGAAATATAAATTTGAAAGATTTTCAGTTCATGTTTTTCAATTTTTATTTTACGAAAATATTTCATTTTCAAATTAAAAATAATTTGATTATAATTTGTTTGTTTGTTTACATTTTTCTGTCAAATGAGTTGACACTAGTAGAACTTACAACAACAAATTTCCATGTGGTTGTTGTATCGTTTTTTGTACAACAACACTTGCTGTTACCTTCTATTATTATACCATGCGATTATTGTAAAATGACAAATTGGGAACGTTATGGTGATAAAAAATTGCAAAATTTTTAATAGAAATCAGTGTAAGTATTTACCCCAAATGAGTGAGAGATGATGGTACCACCTATCCAAGATGAGGCCAGAGTAGCAATTAATCGACTGAAGAACAATGAAGCAGATGCCGATGGATTACCATGGTCTGGAGCATGCACCAGCTGATAAGTACAATTTGGCTAGAGGAATGCATGCCAAATGATTGGAACCTCAGCATCCAAAAAAAAAAAAAAAAAGAAAGATACGATATGTGCCAACTATATAGGAATAAGTCTCCTTCCCATCGCATATAATGTTATATCCAGTGTGCTTTGTGAACGAGTGAATCATTATTGGACCATACCAATGCGACTTCAAGCCTGGCAAATCCACCATTGACCAGATTCTCCCTCTGCGCCAGATCCTGGAAAAGAACCACTAAAAACACATCGACACATTCCACCTATTCGTCGACTATAAAGCCGCATTCGACAGCTATCCGTTCAGAGGTGTATAAAGCCATGTCTGCGTTCGGCATTCCTGCAAAATTAATACGGCTATGCAGGATAACTTTAACTGGCACATGGTCAGCAGTTATAGTCGGAAATGACCTCTGGGAACCCTTTAATACTGAACGAGGACTCAGACAGATTGTCGTGTGACCTTTTTAACATCCTGCAGGAAAAGGTCATACAAGATGCCAAAGTGAACAGAAATGGCAGTCTGTACACTAAACAACACATGTTACCCTACGCCGATGACATCGATATAATGTGTGTGGATGGTATCAACACGCTAGACGTCCAGTAGACTCGGACCAACTGTGAAACTTGAGAACTACAGCTTCGAGACAGTCAAAGATTTTATATACCTTGGTACCGCCATAAATAAAACTAACGACATCTGTTTTAAAATTCGGAAAAGGATAGTGTTGACCAACAGATGCTACTATGGTCTAAGTAAGCAGTTTAAAAACAAGTCCACTAGGTGGACTCCACCTCCCGCCAGAACAAACCAGCACTCTACAAGACGCTGATATTACCCGTGCTGTTGTATGGATCTGAATCATGGGTACTTTCACAAGCAGATGAGGCACCTCTTGGAGTGTTTGAGAGAAAATTTATGCGAAAGATCTATGGGCCATGAGTTGTACCATCGGCATTGTCAGACGTATCGAGCTGCAGCGTTTACGTTATTTAGGTTATCTTGTGAGAATGGATGGGGATGCCTCAGTTCAAAAGGCATAAAAAAGCGAGCCAACTAATGGCTCATGCAGAAGGGGAAGGCCATGAATTATATGTAAAAATGAAGTAGAAAAGAACATTTCAAAACATGGTCTTTCAAATTGGAAGAGTTGCGCGCAAGACTGACGCCCCTGGAAATCTATTTTAAGATCGGCTTATGGAACAAATGTTCTGTCACAAGCCTGCTTAGTAAGTAATTAAAATAAATATTTAATGTATTTATTTAAAAAAAGTTTTCAACGAGTATCTATTTTGATAATAGTTTTTAAAAACTATTTTTAACAACATTTTTTTAATGATTGTATCAAAAATACTATGCGACCACGACTGTTGTTTAAATTGTATGTCAAATTAAAATTGCATTTTTTAGGGACACCTAAAAATAAGTTTAAAAACTTTCAGAAAACTACAAGCCAAACTAATTTTAAACAAGTGTGTTTGCGTGTGTGCCTTTTTTTGCCTTTGCTAACGAGATAACGAATTGCGAATTATTTTGGACACAAGTATTATTGTTGTGCTAAATCCCTGAAGGACAACAACTTTCCCCTTAATTTGTTGTTAAATTCAATGGCAAATTTGCACATTTTTTGTGTCATCATAAATGAATTGGCCACAACAGAAAAATTAGGTTATATTTGGTAAATTATTCAGAAAATAGTTTAATAACATTTTAATAGTAGTAAATTGATTACAAACTCGTATTAAAGATATTGGAAAAGATTATTTTCTTCCCTGATATGCATTTTTAGTCAGCAGCACTAAGGGACATTAAAATTAAATTATACGTGGTTCTGCGATAATCTATAGAGCACCAGAATGGATTTCCAACACCAAAATAGTATGTGGTAAATATTCGCTGTCCTACAACCTCTTGTAGATATACAAAATATATAATCTCCTTTTCCATCATCAATATAAAAACTATCTTTAAAAAACTCAACAGGATATGTTAAAAAAATCAATTTCCCTTATATCCTGCACAGGATGTTATAAATTATGTTTTGAATATTAATTTCCTCAGGCAGCCAGCCTTTTAGTGAAGATTATGCACTCGACATGTAATTGCCCCATGGGGTCTCTTCATTTCATTACTAAATTGATGAAGGCACATTGACAGCAACAACATCACCATCGTCTCCACCATCATCTTCATTTCCATTACTTACTTCTTGTGCAAGTGATGTGTAGCTGTTGTTCATTACTATCACTTCGATTCAAGTGATTTGTGTCACTTGCTTCGTTGTTATTATTATTGAGAAGCGTTGCGAATCATATTTCATATACCGTTGAAATGCCATTGGGTATTTAGGAGGGGGAGATGGAAACATGTTTTTACGTCAACCGTTAAGACATTTTAAGGATGTTGTTCTTTTTTTCTGCCACTCAGTTCTATTGTGTCATTTATTATCCTGTAAAGTGTCAACAAAAGCACAATTCTAATATAAATGATATGTCTTCTGATTTTTAACTTAGTTAGGTTGCAGTTCGCAATGTGGACAGGGATTCCGTCATGAATTTTAGAGGTTTCAAAAATTGTTTTACTTTTGCAATAAATAGTAAAAATTCAGTAAAGAAGATTGTGATGGCGTGTAGCTTTAAACAATTATTTTGAATGTTCAATATAATATGCCTTGAACAAATAAAAAACCCTTGGTTTTAAAGTATTCATTAATTGATTGAAAGAAGAAATTGCTGGCTGTAAGGAGTAAAAATAAAAATTATCTCCGCGTAAAAATTCGACAGAATCAGATTTGTAATATAATAAAGAAATCTAGCAGAATGTTAAGGGACGATTTTTATCTTACTTACACAGCTGAGTTGTGACAGAACATTTGTTTCATAAGCCAAACATAAAAAAGGTTTCCAGCTGAGCTCTTCCAATTTGAAATACCATGTTCCGAAATGTTGTCTTCCACTTGATCAGTTGGCTCGCTTTTATATGCCTTTTGTGCTGGGCATCCTCATCTATTCTCACAACATGACCTAGCCAATGTAGTCGCTGCAGCCCGATACGTCTGACTATGTCGATGTCCGAGAATAGATGATACAAGTCATGGTTTATTCGATGGCGATATTCACCATCGACCTGACTCAACTGCTTGCGAAAGTATCCATGTTTCAGAGCACGGGTTAGTATCAGCATCTTGTAGAGTGTGAGTTTGGTCTGGCTAGAGGTTTCTTAATTGTTTAACAGGATGTTAAACAGTTCAAGAGAAAAACTGTCACTTTGTTTGAATCCTCGTTCCTTATTGAAGGGCTCAAAGAAGTCCTTTCCGACCTAACTGCTGACCTTGTGCCAGTTAAAGTTATCCTGCATAGACATATTCATTTTGCAATGTCAAACGAAGACATACCTCAATTATTCGACTCGTTATATCAATGTCATCGGCGTAGGCGAGTAACGTGTATTGTTTGGTGTAAAGAGTGCCACTTCTTCATTTCGTGTGACCTTTTCCAGAATGATGTTAAACAGTTCACGCGAAAAACTGTCACTTTTTTTGAATCCTCGTTCGGTATTGAAGGGCTCAAAGAGGTCCTTTCCCACTTAACTGCTGATCTTGTGTCAGTTAAAGTTATCCTCCATAGACGTATTAATTTTGCAAGAATGCCAAACGCAGACATGCCTTTAAATACCTCTGAGCGGAATGGGATGTCGAATGCGGTCGACGAAAAATTGGAATGTGTCGATGTATTTTTCCAGGATTTGTCGCATTGTTAAAATGTAGATTTTCCAGGTCTGAAGTCGCATTGGTGTGGTCTAATAATGTCATTTATCATTGGCTTCCGTCCTTCGCACAGTACGCTGGATATGCGATAGGAAGGAGAAAAATTCCGCTATGGTTGGCAGATATCGTCTTGTCTCCTTTTTTGTGCACGGCACACAGGATGATGAGGATCCAATCATTGGCCATAGTTCGGCTGGTAATCCACCGACACCTGCTGCTTTATTATTCTTCAGCAGATAGATTGCTATTCTGACCTCCTCTTATCTACGTATTTCATCGCCTGCTTCCAGATCCTCAACACTCTGTCCGAATCTGTTCTTCATCTCTACGTTGGGATGTGCCTGCACCAAAGCCTTCGGTTTGGTTTTCTACTCGCTGGTGAAATTCTCTCGATAATTCTCATTCACATTACGTGTTGCTACTGTCTGCGGGGTTGCCTTATACGCTGCGTTTTTCCCAT